CGAGTGCCAGGATAGGCTCCAAAGCTACACAGAGAAACCCTGTCTCGAAAAAAAAAAAAAAAAAAAAAAAAAAAAGAATTGTAGGCTGAGGCTGGAGAGTTGATTCAGAAGTTAAGAGCACTGTACACCTTTAATCCCAGCACCTAGGGGGCAAAAGCAGGAGGATCTCTGTAAATTCAAGGCCAGCCAGGTCTACAGAACAAGTTCTAGGTCAGCCAGAACAGTTACACAGAGAAACCCTGTCTCAAAACAAAGCAAACAAACAAAAAAAAAATTAAAAGTTAAAAAAAAATTTAAAACCTGAATTTTGTTAATATCCATAAGGAAAATAATTATTTTTATGCAAAAAATATTTATGCAAAGCTATAATGACATAAAACAGTATATAGTAGTACAATAAAAAGTCTTATCAGTGGAACTGGGTATATATTAGTATGCTACTATGCAAAAAAAAAAAAAAACACACACAGAAGCATACCCAAGATTTTAGCAATGATACAACCAATATTTCAAATCACTGTGAAAACAGACTACTCAGTGATAGTATTTTTAAAAGTGGACCAACCAATGCCAGGAGATAGTAGCACACACCTTTAAATCCCAGCACCCAAAAGGCAGAGGCAGGAGGATCTCTGTAAGTTCAAGGCCAGTCTGGACAGCCAGGGCTACACAGACAAACACTGTCTCAAAAAAAAAAAAAAAAAAAGGCCTAACCAGGTCAGAGGGAAGGACACATACTTTGTTAGGTTACAAAATTAATTTAGATGGACTAAAAATTTAAATCTAGGTATTCATTCTTCCTTTCACCCTCTTCCTTCTTCAAATACTTTATTCTTAAAACCATGAGGTGGGACCAGGCAAGGAAAAAGAAAATCTCCACGCTAGGAAGTCAGAACAGTCCAACACAAGTGTCACAATCTGACTAGGGTTTGCTCCCCTAAAAGAAATAGGGTAGCAGTGGGTGTGATGTCAGAACAAGTGAAGACCAACCAAAGAGGGGAGAGTAGGCAGTAGTGGAGTGAAGCTGTCAATCCTAAAGAGGATGACAAGGATTGCCACGCAGGGCAAGAGCAATGGTGCCTGAATGAGGCAATGATGCAATAAGCAACAAGGAGATGAATCACATAAGCAAATGACTTAAAATAAAGGAAGTCATATCTTTGGACTGAAACAAGTCATCAGTATGACAGGAAATAATGGTAACAGGCATAGATCTTCTAGATTACATTGTGTAAAGTCACTGAGTCACTGAACTTTCAATATAGACACAGATTCAGACAGATCATATGTACAGAGGTATATCTATACAAATATTGCATCAGAATTAAATTGCTATGGCCTCATAATTTTCAACATATATAAATGATATAGATATCAATATATGTAAACTTGCATTACAGTGCTAATAAGCAGGTATCTATTTTCTAACTATACCAACTCAGAGAACTTGAGACCAAAAACGCCCTAACAACAATAAGTACATTTAGTGTACACACTGGTTTCTTTTGTTTTTTGTTTTGTTTGGTTTTTGTTTTTTCGAGACAGGGTTTCTCTGCATTGTTTTGGAGCCTGTCCTGGAACTCACTCTGTAGACACACTGGTGTCTAACTATAATTCTCATGTAAAAGAAAACCTAGCTCCTTGAAGAAAATTCTGGTAGTGCTAGTCTACCCATCAATCAAGATGAGCCACAATACACTGCTGTATGAAAAGAAAATGTTCACAAACAATTAAAGAAATGATATCACCCAAGCAGCAACACAGCATGAACATCAAAATAAATGAAGATAACAGAGTATGAACTATTAAATAAAATACAAATATATGGGACTATGGCTCAGGTAGCAGAGTGCTTGCCTAGCATCACGAGAACCTGAGTTTGATTCTCCAGAGTCAATAAACAACACATAGTAGTTCGTGCATGTAATCCCAACATTCAGGAAAGATGATAAAGGATCAGAAGTCAAGGTCATGGGGCTTAGTAGTTAATAACATTTGGGCAGTGGTGGTACCCAGCACTCAGAAGGCAAAGGCAAACAGATCTCTGTGAGTTCCAGGCCAGCCTGGTCTACAGAGTGAGTTCCAGGACAGCCAAGGCTGTTACAGAGAAACCCTCTTTCAAGCTCCCCTCCCCGCCAAAAAGAAAAGCACTGACTGCTCTTGCAGAGAACTCATGCTCAGTTCCCAATGCCCATATCACCCAGCTCACAGCCACCTATACCTGCAGTTCCAGAAGATCCAACACATTGTTCTGGTCTCCATGAGCACAAGCAATGCATAGTGCACACATAAGCAGGCACATACACATTAATAACAACAAATAAATAAAATAAATATTTTAATCAAATCTGAGTTCATTCTTAACTACATAGCAAATGAGCCTAGCTTGATATACATGTGTGACCTTATCTAAAAACTAAATATGGCAGCACCACTTTAAGTCCATACTATAATTGGGCTTTTTTGCTATAATAGAATGCAAACCAAAGCCATGTTTTAAAACAAATTTATACAGTTAGCCATGAATCATAACAGTAAATTAAGAAATAGTTATGGATGCCAAAATGAGTACAAGACAGAAGGCATACAGAGGAAGATGTGTGCATACAAGTTACTTTCCCACAAAATGTCTATTGGTTATAAAGGAAATAAAATATCAAACTAATAGCACAGAAACTTGACAGATATAACCTTAACTAATGACGAAAGTAAGATTATAAGGTATCAAAAAAACTGAAATAAGTGTGTCACCTGACAAGATGCAATAAGAACACAAAATTATTTCTGAAGGAAACATCAGACAAGTCCAAATAAAACGATATGCTAAAAAATAACTAAAATCTACAATATTCTAAAGTATCAAACTGACAAAAGTCAAGGAAAGACTCCTGTTATTTTTGCATGAAACACATTTCTGGGGAAAATGAGAAAACATGAGTCCAGCAGATTTGCAGTGGTAATACACCACTAACTTCTGGTTTTGACAGTTATATTACAGATGTATGAGTTTCTGGTGCTAGAGTTCTGAACTAAGGACCTGGCATATACTAGGAACACTCTACCCCTGAGATAGTCTAGGCCAAGAATGCCTGTCTTAATAGGAATATACAGTATGGCATATGAGAACTCTATACTATTCCCATAGCTCATATATAAACTTTCTTATTTCAAAATTTATTAGGAAAATGGGTTTTTAAAGATATAAAGAAATACAGGTTTGAGAAGCAAGTCAGCAATGCAACCATTAAGAATTGAGTTCAGATCCTAGTATACTTGTAACAAGCAAGGGGAGGTCATGCATACACCTTAATCCCAGCACTATAGATAAGAGGGAAGAGGGATGATTGCTGGAGCTTGCTAGCTACCAGCCTAAGTAAAGAGGAAAAAAGGAACGCCTCAAGCTTCAAGTTCAGTGAGAGACCCTGTTTCAGCGAAAAATCAATGCCTTCTTCTGACTTCCTTGACACACACCTGCACATATACAACACATACATATACCACACTCAAACACAAAAATTAAAAAGTACTTTAAAGATATTAAAAATACATACACCTCCATAAAGAAAGCTATTCTCTGGATAGCATCTGGCACACACCTGTAACTAAGACTCTGCAAGTTGAAGCAGGAAGATCACAAATTGAAGGTCAATACTGCCCATCCTGTGCCTCCTTTCACACTCCCCCCCAAGCAAGTCTGAAGCCTCCTGGGACACAAGAGTGTCTCCACCAAACAAAACAAGCAAAACAAATCCCCAGAAGAAAACACAAAACTTGAAAAAAAAAATTTTTGTAATAAAACAAGATAAATTAACCAACCTGAAAAAACTCTGGAGAAAAAAAAAAAAAAAACTTAAAAACAATAGCACTTTTAATGGCAACATAATCACTCTTAACATATTTAACTGGTAATCACATTCTACACAAAAACTCCACACCATAATGAAACTTCCAAAACACACCCTTTTACATGGATCCTAATAGTATGAAACTAGACACCACAGAAGGCCCTTCTATGAGGGGCTGCTCCACAGCTGACTGAATCTAGCAATACTCTGTACTAAAGAATAAGGAGCCAGAAAAATGATGATAGAAACACCATTTATTGATGCAAAAATATGTTGAGGTTTATTAAGTTTCAAAAGCAGAAGAATCAGTAATATAGTCTAAATGTTTTATAAGCCAGTATATGGGAAACACAAAAATACACAGAAAAGATCAAAAGGTTTAAATGGGAAGTTTTTTCAAATGTTTGAAATATATATTAATTACTTAATCCAAAGATTACTGATAAAATTTCTGAAATTTCCAAATTGACTACAATGACATTCTTCTACAGAGGCAACAGGTACCTTCCTTCATTGACACACACAGTAACACTGTCTAAAAGACAATGAACAGCTGAAAAATCTTGACAATGAAGTAGCTGCATCAAACAACAGTGTGAGAGGGGAGAATGGTAGGTAGGGGGTAGGTGGGGTGTGGGTGGTATGTACCCTAAATTAAGAAGAGATGAAGCAAACAGTTAAAAGTGTTTTTATTTTAAAACAGGAGGGTCTCAAGGTTATCTAGGTAAGTCCTGAACTCTTGGGCTCAACTCATCCTCCTGCTTTAATGTCCTAAATACTTGGGACTAATGACAGAAAAATGATGATTAATAAAAATCTAGTAAAACCTTTAAACTTGATAAGGGAAGAGGTCAGTAAATTTTCAAGGACAAATGTGTACTGAGTGATTGAAATGTTCTGAGAACATTAATAAACACCTACATTAGAATAAAAGATGACACAGGTTTGTTTATGACTTTCACATTCTTCTGCACTTACTTTAATACTGTTGCTTAAGATGGTAACTATTTTTCTCCAAATCTCTATGAAGTTAGAGGGAGATTCTTAGTTGTTTTTTTTTTTTTCTTAACAATTAAAACCTTAAACCCACCTCTTTTCTATCTCCTAGTTTCAAAACCAAAAGTGCAAACAACATTACGATGACATCCACTGTACCTTATTATAACGATCATGTGGGACAGACTGTAAAACGATTGGCTCCATTGTAGAAACATTGGCAAATTGTACCTCTGGAATATAGAGGGCACAAACCACATGAGCCCAACCTAAAAATAAATAAATACATATTGTCATTCTTCAAGCTTTATCAAAAATAAAATTACTACCTGTCTTAAAAGATCCCTTAAAATGACTATTTAAGCAAATGCATAACAAAACCATAATAAAAATCTAGCTACTGAATTATTTATGTAATAATTGTCACCTGCTCACTACTGATGCAAAGGGTTCCTAATCATGGCTGCATCTATTATGCACTGAACATAAACAAAGTGAGCACTTATGTATTCAGGTGCTGGATGACATTGATCTTAAGGGCAGACTAAATCCAGATTAACACTACTTCTGAAAAACACTTTAATTTGAGGAAACCAGGTCTGACAGTTCCCAGCACTCTAAACACTCTTGAGGCCAAATCAAAAGGAGTTTCTCCATTTCGAGGTCAGTCAACACTACACAGTGAGTTGAAGATCAGACTGTATTGCCAAATTAAGAACATTTTCAAAAGCCAAAAACAAATGTGTAAATAACATGAAGGCTGTATAATTCAGTAGTTACTGGCGCCCCTGGTTAATTTGTGAAGTTCTAGATTCTATTCTCAGTTCTGCAATAAATAATTTATACCTTTAAATAGCTTAAAGCTTCAAGTCTTAAAAGGTTGGAAATCTTTCATCACTGGACAGAAGAACACTTGCCTAATCTACACAAGGGTTAAGGTTGATTCCATTTTCACCATCACCAAGAAGATAAAAAGAGGAAGGATTTTACTACTTTTAATCTTAATATTCTTTTTTTATTATTTTTTTTATGAGACAGGGTTTCTCTGTGGCTTTGGAGGCTGGTCTCGAACTCACAGAGATCCACCTGCCTCTGCCTCCTGAGTGCTGGGATTAAAGGTGTGTACCAACAACGCCCCAGCTAATCTTAATATTCTTAAATCTGACAGTAATCGTTTTTTATATTCTTGTCAATGTTTTGACTGTTCATGTAACAGCTGTCATTTTTCTATTTTAAATCTTCATCTGAAATATTACCAGTTGATGCTAAAGTGATGCTATAAAAATGTGACTGAGGCTAAAGAGCTGATGTTATAGTTAAGAGTTAATGGGAAACTAGAAAAAGATGAAATTTCAGGAAGGTGGAGTACAGTCACAGACAAAGGAAAATGGTAACACTGAAAGACTAGAAGCTAGATCTAAAATTCAGATATACCATGGACCTCAGAAAGATCACCTAGGCTTTAATCATCTTAAACCCTAAACTTTGAACATAGCAATCCCAAACAAGCACCCATGGCATCAAACAAAAAAAAAAATACATCTTCTCTGAAGGAAAATGATAACTTTTCACAACTTAGTCACAAATAGTGTCTGTAATTTGTTAATTAGAATTTATAGAATAAAAAGCACTAAACACATGAAAGACAGCACAAATGAAATCCAGCAGAAACAAGAAAATCAAATCTACAATTTGAAGTGATCAGAATATTTGTATGTTTATTATGCTCAAATACAAAGAATGCAAGGTTGCTCAGTGAGAAAGGTGCCCGAAAATCACCATCAAATAAAACCAAAAATACTTTCATACACCAAAGCAGCATCACGTTCCTCAAAAAGGAAAAATTATTACCAAAGGAAGCCTGAATTGGGTGTGGGGGAGGAAGAGATATGTATGGATACTGACTATAAATAAGTGCTTATATTTAAAAAAGAAAGAAACCACATGGACTGGAGAGATGGCTCAGCAGTTAAAAGCATTGACTATTCTTCCAGAGGTCCTGAGTTCAATTCCCAGCAACCATGTGGTGGCTCACAACCACCTTAAATGAGCTAGTGCCCTCTGCTGGCATGCAGGCAGAAGTCTATACATAATAAATAAAATGGAAGGAAGGAAGGAAGGAAGGAAGGAAGGAAGGAAGGAAGGAAGGAAGGAAGGAAGGAAGGAAGGAAGGAAGGAAAGAAGGAAGGAAGGAAGGAAGGAAACCAACCACAGGCCAGGTATGTTTGTGTATGCCATTAATCCTAGTACATGGAAGGCAGAAAGGCAGGCAGATCTGTGAGTTCAAGGCCAGTATGGTCTACACAGAGAGTTCCAGGCCAACCAGGGCTATACAATGAGACTGACTTTAAAAAAAAAGAGAGAGAGGAAGGAAAGAAAAGTAAGCACAAAGACTAGAGAATGGCTCAGAGGTTAAGAGCACTTGCTGGACCCCGGTTCAGTTCTTAGCACCCCCATGACAGCTCAAAACTGTACTAAACTCCAGGAATTGGACACCTTCTGGCTTCTTCTGGCTTATGCAGGCACCAGGCATGCATGTGGTTCACATATATACTTGCAGGCAAAACACACATATACATAAAATAAAGATAAATATTTTAAAAAGAAAAAGAAAGAAACCACTGAAAAGTGAAGTGGCCCATACTTGTAAGGTGGAAGTGGGAGCAAGCCTACATGAAGCAAGGAAGGAAAGAAAGGAGGGGCGAAAAGAAACCAAACCTAAAGAACCATTGCCTCAAGTGTCAGGAATAAATCCCCTCGATCAACACTGATACAAACTAACCTAACAAAGTAAGATTTATTTCCCAAAACCTTAACCATATCTCAGAACAAACCTTAGAAACAGGTAAAGGGGTAAGGCATTGTGGGACATTCACAGTGGTAATCCCAGCACTAAAGAGACTAAGGTAGACAAAGGTAGAACAGTAGCCTAGGCCATGAGACTGTATATATATATAAATATATGCCTATGTATACATACACACAGAATGCAAAATATACAGATTTGTACCAATTAAGTATGGTGGAAGAGGCAGGTACAAAAAGGGTAGATACCACACTAGAAACAACAAAAATTATATAGAAATTGCTTGCAGCAACCAAGTACCTACTCAACTAAGAAAGAGGGGGGAAAAAAAGCTCTTTTGGCATCTTTCTTTGCCTTATATGAATGCTTTAGGTTCAGAGATCTTAAACACAACAGCTAGTTTCCAGTGTAGAGAGACTATCCTCTGATGGCACAAGAACCAGAGTAAAGTTTTATGTGCAAAGAATTGCGTTCTGTGACTACTTCAAAGTATCTGAAAGCTAACCAGGGACTGAGAGGTGCCTGTCCTTCAGCTCTCTCAAGAGTTCATTCAAAAGAGAAAGCAGCCTTTAAATTTAATAAAAGGCAAACAAACCCACAGATGCACCCAAAAGCCTCATTGAAAAAGCTAGAGACAAGGAGCTCTGGCACAGACCTGCCCTAAGGTGAATTCACCTAAAGCAGTAGCCTTCAACCTTCCAACAGTGTGACCCTTTAATACGGTTTCTTAAGTTACGGTGATCCCCAGCCAGAAAATTATTTTCATTGCTACTTCATAAGTATAATTGTACTGTTATGAATCATTTTGTAAGTATTTTTGAGTTGCCAAAGGAGTCGTGACCCACGACTTGAGAACCACTATTCTAAAAAAAGATTTGAGACAGCCATCAATTATTATATCTAGTTAGAATCCAAGTATGGCAGAAACAAGAAGTGACAGGGTAAGTCATAGTGATAAATACAATGAAAACACCACAGAAAGAATGCAAAACACAGTGTTTCTTAATCCCCGCTTTCTCACTATCTTGTACTAGATGTTCAAGGAAATCATCATCAAAACACTAACTGAAGAGTCTCCAGCAATTATGTAACAAAAACATATAACTTACAAGTCACTAAAAAAAAGTTTAAGAACACAGCAAGCTACAAAAACTAAACCCTAGCAGGGCGGTGGTGGCGCTGGCCTTTAATCCCAGCACTTGGGAGGCAGATGCAGGCAGATCTCTGTGAGTTTGAGACCAGCCTGGTCTACAAGAGCTAGTTACAGGACAGGCTCCAAAGCCACGGAGAAACTCTGTCTCGAAAAACCAAAAAAAAAAAATTAAATACACCCTAAAGGAAAGGCGGAACTTTGCTTCAGAGTTAACCCATTGTAACATTCAATTTTATCCGATTTTTAGTTTTGAAACTTTTTTTTCTCTTTTATTTTTTGAGACAGGATTTCTATGTGTAGCCCTGGCTATCCTAGAACTTGCTCTGTAGATCAGGCTGGCCTCAAACTCAAGAGATCCTCTTACCTCTGCATCCTGAGTGCTGGGATTAAAAGTGCTAGCTGCTACTACTTGGCTTGGTTTTGCAATGCTTAGTTAGAGCATGTATCTCAAAGCATGCTTTGCAAGCACCTGAGAACTGAGCTATACAACCCCAATACAATAAATACATGCATTCTAAAATAAGTTACAGTTTATAAGGAAAATATGAGGGGGAGGTAGAGCTATAGAAATAGATCAGTAAGTAAAGTCCTTGCTGTGTTAAAACATGAGGCCTTGAATTCAGATTCCCCAGCACCCACATAAAAAGCCAGGTATTCTGCTGGAAAATACACAGCCAATCAATGAGTTCCAGGTTCCAAGGTAAACAGAGAAAGACACTCAACATCAACCTCTAGACTTCACATGCACACACACACACACACAAAAACAATTTTTTAAATATGACCTATTTACAAGCCCAAGAAATATATTCTGAACAGAAGTCATTAAAAAGAACCAAAAAAAAATCTTGAAATTTTATTAAAATGAAAATAAATTATCACAACAATGACAACAGCTAATACAAATAAACAGAAGGAAAAAAGTAAAATTAAAGGTAAGCCAACTGATATCACTGTAGAGCACACAAAAGTGTGGGTAAATACCTGAAGGACATATTAATAAAAGGATTTTCCTGAGTTCAGAGGAGCAAGAAAGATGAATAGGGGAGTGTAGAGGAAATGGTTTCAAATTTTCACAATTTCATAACACACATGAATATGCAATTCTTGAGTCTCAAAAACCTTCAACTAAGCCGGGCAGTAGTGGTGCACGCATTTAGTCCCAGCACTTCGGAGGCAGAGGCAGGCGACTTTCTGTGAATTCGAGAACAGCCTGGTCTACAAGAGCAAAAAAAAAAAAAAAAAAAAAAAAAAAAAAAAAAAAAAAACAAACTTCAACTAATGCAAAAGGAGACATATGATAAATAAATGTTACATGCTCTATAATCTTTTTAATGCACCAAAAAGCTCTTCAACACATAACAAGTTGCTCAGTAAGAACACACAGCCTACAAATTTATGAAGCAAAATGCATTCAGTAGAGACAACTTCAAATTTGACATCTGGCAGTTCTTCTAGGCTACTAAAATGTGGTACCATATTCTCCCAGTAAGCCAATAGCAACATGACAAGTAAGCAGCCAGAACTCTATGGAACTGTGCTGACAAATTACGATGTTTAGCAGTTTACGTCTACTAACTATATTTTCAACTGACAGTACAGTCAGTCAAATTATAACAACATTTTGATCAATGAGATACAACATATATACAACCATACTCCTATAAGATTACTAAGGCGGCAAATTTTTCTGGTGCCTTCTGAAATTACACGTCCATTACACATCCCTGTGCACTACATTATTAACATGTTTATAGTGATGCTGGTGTGAATAAACTTGCTACACTAGCATTCAATATGCTACCCAAATACAACTATGTGTATGTACAACAATATCAAATAGCAATAATAAGCAATTAAGCTACTGGTCAATTATACTCTTATTTTTATGTTAACTTTTACGCCTTCTATTTGCTTTTAAAAATAAAATGTCAAATATAAATAAAGCCAGGCCCTTAAGGGGGTATTCTAAAATGTTCTGTTACTACAAGTTCTAATAGCTCTGCATGTTTCTTTGGTGGCAGAGGTTCTGGTTTTTTGCAGTACTGGAGACTGAATTCAGCTCCTCAGACATGGTAGGCAAGCACTCTATCACCATTCCAGAAACTCAGCCCATGAATATGGCTTCCCCGAAGACCTTTCTAGGAGATGATTAGGTGAAGGTGGGAAACAATGATATTGATACCCCTGACCTTATGCAGAACAAAGTTAATGTATATTGTTTCTGCCTAACTTTCTAACACAAAACTTAAAAGATTAAAAAAAAAGGAAGAAGATATAGGATGGATGTGCTAGCACACATTTTCAGTCCCAGCACTGGGAAGGAAGAGAGGCAGGAGGATCTCATTCTGAGTTTGAGGCAGGCCTAGTCTAGAGTTCCAAGTCAACCAGGGATACATAGTAAGACCCTGTCTTTTTTTTTTTTTTGAATAAGCAAGTGTTTCTGATGAACATAACAAAGTCATTTACACGCTGGGCTTTGGTGGCGCGCACCTTTAATCCCAGCACTCAGGAGGCAAAGGCAGGCAGATCTCTGTAAGTTTGAGGCCAGCCTGGTCTCCAGAGCCAGGATAGGCTCAAAAGCTACACAGAGAAACTCTGTCTCAAAAAACAAAAACAATGTCATTTACAGAAAATATTTTAGATAGTTCTATAACATTTTAAGCTCATGTTATTACAAAAGAGTAAATATATATATATATATATATAGATATATATATATATATATTGTAAAAATACCACAGTATCTAGATATGGCCATACAGGGCTTTAATCCTCAGAGGAGCAGCCAGGTGTATCTTTGTTAAGTTCCAGACCAGTCTGGTCTACAGAGCAAGTTCCAAGACAGCCATAGCTATATAAAAGGGAAATCCTGTAAAGGGGGGTGGAAGCAGTCAGGCAATGATAGTACATGATAATTCCAGCACTCACGAGACAGAGAGTGACAGGCAGATCCCTAAGTTCAAGGACAGCTGTGGTCTACAGAGTGTGTTCTAGGGTAGCCAGGGCGCCAAAAAAAAAAAAAAAAAAAAACCCTGTCTCGAAAAACCAAGAAAGACTACCTTCCTGTCCTAGACCTTCACATTCTCTTACTATTGGCTCAGTTACTCACCCAGGACGACTTCAATGCTCACAAACTTCACAAGCTCATACCTATCTATATAGTGCCCTATACAGATGAACTGTTTTTATTTTTGATATCAGATTATTTATTATACCCTTTCCATATTTAGATTTATAACAACTAATCACTATGTTGTATCTGCATTATTCAGTAGTATAGCAGTATAATGTGCTTATAACCTAGAGGCAATAAACTATATAATGTGTTTAGCAAGCTGTATGTCTAGGTTTATGCAAATACACTCTACGATATACACTCAATACGATAGCACCTAGGACACATTTCTCAGAACTTAAGCAGTAAATGACCATCTCTAAAAAGTTAGGAAAATAATCAACTTTTGCCAATAATGTTTTAAAACTAGAGAAATCAATAAACTGCCAAATTTACAAATGAAGCCAACAAAATACAAAATTTTTAATTCTTTAATCACTAAAAGCAATTATGCAAATTTATAGCCTTGAGAAAACTCAAGATATTTCTCAATGACACTACCAAATATTTACAGATTATAAAATTCCAGTTTTATAGAAATACCTCCAAAATTTCCTAATGTGTTAAGACCATCGTAACATTAATGCCAAAACCTGAAAACACTGTAAAAAGGGGAAGTCACTGCTTAACCCCCTTATGAAAAGATGCCAGCAATTTTAATTTTAGTCTCCAGAAACCATTATCTTTAACAAACTATTAACCAAATGAAACTAATATTATTATTTTAGGAAAATAGGCTGATTTTGTTTCAAAAATAAACCAATGTAATTCCTATCAAAATGAGGGAGAAATATTTTATGACCATTTCAATAGGAAAAACAGAAAAAGAAACCTTATCTTTCTTTATACTTCATCAGTCAATCTTCATAGTTTTACAAGCTCATGCCTACACAATTAAGAATGGTACCAATTATATAAAAGAATAAGAACTTTAATCCAGGCATGTAGAACATTCCTGTAATCCTAGAAGTCATGAGGCAGAGGTATCAGAGTCACCATACATCTAGGCCAGGCTGAGTTACACAGACAGTGCCAAGCCCTGAACTACACCAAAGGAAATGAAGAAAGGACAAGAAAGAAAAAGAAAGAAAAAGAAAGGAAGGAAGGAAGGAAGGAAGGAAGGAAGGAAGGAAGGAAGGAAGGAAGGAAGGAAGGAAGGAAAGGACAAGCAAAGCAGAAGAAAGGGAAAAGAAAAACCAGACAAATTTTTCAGGGAAAGATAACTCAAAGTGGAGATGCAAAATAAATGCAGGGTAATCCTCATCTAAAAATGCTTGGGAACTGGAGGATATGGGAGATTAAGCCTTCTGAATGTTTACTTTGATTTTACCAGCTAGGTATCACTAATCCAAAAACCCAAAATCTGAACTCGACATTCAAAATTTGTTGGATTAACAGTATTTCAGATTCTGAGTTTTCAGAAGAGGAAATGCTCAGAATCCTCATGAAAGAACTCCCTGCCAGGTGTAGTTGGTACCCAACACTCAGGAGTGATACATTAATGAGAATACTTTGCCAGGTATGGTTGGCCCTGTAACCCCAAGACCTAGGAGTGAGGCTGTCTTAAAAGCAACAACAAAAACAAGCCTTGTGTGGTGGCAGACACCTTCGATCCCAGGGAGACAGAGTTGGGCAGATCTCTGTGAGTTCTGAGCCAGCCTAATTTACATAGTGAGTTCCAGGCCAGCCAGGAATACAAAGTAAGACACTGTTTTAAAAGATAAATCAAGGTTTCAAATAGAAGAATGCAGATCATTCCACATAAAACTGCCAATAGAGAATATGAAGACAAATTGTGTAAAAACAGAAAATGAATTAAACCACACATAACTGCCCATCTACAACCCCAGAACATGGAACAATAAGAAAGAGGATGGAGAATTCAGGCTAACCGGGATCACATAGTCTTGTCTCCAACTAATTATGAACATCATCATTAATATTTCAGTAACAATATTTAGTTTGATGAAATAATATGAACTATCAAATACTTTTAAGTACTGTATCATTCTAATTTTCAATATTTTTGAAAGACTGTACTTACCCCCATTATCTGTTCTTTTTAAAGCTCCATCTTTATGGGGACACAGCTCACATCTCTATTTAAAGAAAATTAAAAATAAAAAAAGGAAAAGGCAATGAAGTCTTTTTTTTTTTCAGAAAACCAAAACCATATCTTTCCTTTAACTTCAAAACTAACAAAAATAGAGTAGCATTTCTATTCATTGCCACAAAGAAAATTCCAAAACACTTCTCACAAAATAGCTATTCACTGCAAATACCTTGTTTTCTAAAGATTCATTTTTATTTCTTGTTGCGTGTATGCAAGTATCCATGGAGGCCGAAGAGGGAACCAGATCCCCTGGTTCTGGAACTATGGATGATTGTGACCTATCCTGTGGTTGTTGGAAACCTAACCCAGGTCCTCTGCAAAAGGATCAAGTGCTTTTAAGAACTGCTAAACCATCTCTCCATCCCTCAAAATAATCTAGTATGATTAACAACTTCTTTAAAAGAATACTTTAAAAATCCTGCCTAGCCCGGCCGTGGTATCATATGCCTTTAATCCCAGCACTAGGGAGGCAGAGGCAGGAGGATCTCTGTAAATTCAAGGCTAGCCTGGACTACAGAGCAAGTTCCAGGCTTCAAAGAGAAACCCTGGGGGGGAGGGGGGGTATGGATATTGAGAGGACCAGAATACTTGGGATGTTGTAACAGGAAGATGAATTAAGTCCAGAAGTTTGAGACCACCTCTTGGGGAGGAAAAAAAAACTGGGCATGGTAGGACATACCAGTTATCCCAGCACTCAGAGGCTGAAGCAAGACTACCATTCTCAAGGATAGCATGGACTACAGTGAGAAAACATTTCAAAAACAAAAAATAAAATAAACCCAACTTTCAACATAAGCCAGAAACAAGGTTGTGACATTTGCCTGTACTGGTTTCTAATACAGGCAAGAACTAGTTTGAGGGCTGGAGAGATGCTCTTCCAGAGAATCCAAGTTAGGTTCCTAGTGCCCACCCACATCAGGCAGCTCACAATGTCTCTTAACTTCCATTCCAGGGGCTCTGACATTCTCTTTTGGACTCTTCAGGCACAAGCATGCACACTCATGTACAAATGGCATACACACAGATACACATAAATAAAAATGAATTCTAAAATACATTTAAAAAAAAAAAGCTTGCTGAGCATAGTCATGCACACTTGGGAGGCAGAAGAAAACTAATTTTGGGGGGGAAGGGGAACTGAACTTGCTCTATACACCAGGCTGGCCTGGAATTCAGAGATCTGCCTGCTTCTGCCTCCAAATACTGGGGTTAAAGGCATGTACCACCACTCCCCTGTTGGGATTAAAGGTATGAACAATGGGGGCTGGAAAGATGGCTCAGAAGTTAAGAGCACTGACTGCTCTTCCAGAGGTCCTGAGTTCAATTCCCAGCAACCACATGGTGGCTCACAACCATCCGTTATGAGATCTTGTGCCCTCTTCTGGTGTGCAGATATACATGGAAGCAGAATGTTGTATACATAATAAATAAATAAAATCTTTAAAAAAAAAAAAGATTAACAATGGCCCAGCTGATTTCTTGAGCTCAAGGCCAAATCTGAGGCCCACCTGGGCTACATAAAGGCCTGTTGCAAAAATTTAACAGGAAAAGTTAAAAAGAAAAGTAATTACAATCAACTGAACTATATCATAAATTTTTTTAATCTACAATAAATGAATTTAGACTTCTGAAAGCGGTAAGCTTATGAGAGGACAAACCTGTAATACAGGTAACAATTGTTAAATTCTGGAGAATACAAAGTAACTGTTACCTGAATGAAATGCATGACAGATAAGAAACTTGGAAAAACCAGCATGAGAGTACACCAATTTTTTTTTTAAAGCATTACCCTGAAGACAAGACACAGTCAACTCTTAGAGGCTCCTGTAGTCATAATACCTAAGAACCACAACAGAGGGTTCAGAACAACTTTGGTGTACATAAAGTAAGATCTGAATCCAAAATAGAGCAAATTAAATTAAAGAGTAAGAACCTACTCTTATAGTTATAAAACTAACCCAGATTTTTTGTTGACCTAGCCTCACACATATACAGGGCAAGAAAGCCCAGCTAAGGGGGGAGAGAGAGAGAGACAGAGACAGAGACAGAGACAGACAGACAGACAGACAAAATGAAACTTAAATAGGAGAGGCAAGAGGTTCTCTGTGAGTTCAAGGCCAGCCCAGTCTACAAAGCAAGTTCCAGGACTGGCTCCAAAGCTACACAGAGAAACCCTGTCTCAAAAAAAAAAACATTAAATAGGTATTCAAAATACACACAAGGTGATTTGAATCCAACCAATCAACCAACTCTAATGTTAAAATTCTCAATTTCAAGGCTGGTGAGACAGCTCAATGGATAAAGTGCTTGCCAAGCAAGTGAGATGAGCTCAGATCCCCAAAACCCATGCACAGCTAAGCAGTCTACAGTTTACTGGCAGCAGGCCTGGCATACAGTTTGAAACAAGAGAACCTGCATCAAACAAGATGAATAATGAGGACCCACCATCACACTCAAGGTTGTCCTCGACCTCCACACATGCATTATGGCATGTATGTGCCTGAACTTCTACACACAAAAAGATATTAACATATCTATTTCATTTTTTTTTTATTATTTTTAAGACAGTCTTGTACAAATTCCTATGTGGGATACGCTGAAGTTCTGATTCTTCTGTCTCTAGACCTTCTAGTACTACAATTCTCAATATGCTCCACCATGCTTGGTTTAAGAGGTGCTAAGTAATGACTAGACAAAGATTCTAGTAAACTAAAAATATCAGTCCCTACAAAGGAATACAAAAGAGCATAACCTGTTCAACAAATAATGTTTGTGAGATGATCTATATCACTTGACCAGTAAAGAACCAGAAAAAAGGTTGTCAAAGGAAGTCAACAAATGTCAACTCCAAGATTATCCAGACTTTGGAGATAGCAGAAGAGTTTTAAAATATATATGAAGCAGGCAGATCTCAAATCTCCATGCATCTGAGGCCAACCTGATCTAGTTCCCTATGGAGCTCCAAGCCAGCCAGAAATATATACTGAGACTCGAAATTAAATAAATAAAAACCTGAAATAAAATGAAAATGTACCTGTAATAAATGAAACAGAAAATATCAACAAAGGAAAAGAAGCTATAAAATAATTGAATGGGATTAGAGATGCAGCTAAATGGTAGAAAGAATACCTAGCTCTCACAAGACTCTGAGAAAGAAAAACACAAACGAACAATAAAGCCTGGCCTGGTAGCACAGAGCACACAAGAATCAGGACTGAGCCAAGTTCAGGCTGGCCAAGGCTATGGTGATTTACAGGCCAGTCTCTGCTATATGGAGATCCTGTCTGAACACTAAAACAAATCTAGGGATATAATTGAGTTGTGGAAAGCTGACAAGCATGGTTAAGGTTCTGGGTTTAATTAAGTTCAGTAGAATAACAAAAAAAGGAAGAGGACAACTACAACAAAAAGGGAATGCTCAGAGAACTCAAGAACAAAAAAGGAAGCTCAAGTGCCATATGCAGTGATACAGATCCCAACACTGGAAAGGCAGAGACAAGGATTGCCACAAGTCCAAGGCCAGCCTACTCTACAAAGCACACTCTAGGCCATCAAGGGGGAGACAGACACACACACAGACACACACAGACACACACAGACACACAGACACACAGACACACCACCTTGTCTCAAAAAGAGTAAAACAGAAAGAAGGGAGGGAGAGAGACCCAAAATATAAAGAACTGAAAGAAAAGCACTATAGATGCAACTGCTATGAGCAGAACTGTAGTGGCCAATCACCCAGGAGACTCTAGCACATCTAGTGGAGTATCTGTGAGGTGAGCATTCTCAAGCAGCAGAGCCACCCTAAACTGGGTTACTGGAGATCTGAGCGAAATGGATGATATATGTAAGCTAACATTCCTGGCCCTTCCTTCTTTCTGGTAGGTATTTTGTCTCAGAAACAAATAACTAACATTAAAAAGCAATCTATGGCTGGGCAGTGGTGGTGCACACCTTTAATCCCAGTGTTCTGGAGGCAGAGGCAGGCGGATCTCTTTCCAGGCCAGCCTAGTCTACAGAGTGAGTCCCTAGGACATCCATGACTGTTTCACAGACAGAGAAACCCTGTCTTGAAAAACAAAAAAATAAAAACAAAAGACATACTTTGTAAAAATAAGGGGAATGGCTGGCAAGATGCCTCAGCAAGCCTGGTGAGCTAAGTTCTATCTCCAGAAACAACATAAATATGAAAAACAGTTGTTCTCTGGCTTCAACTTGCTTGCTATGACAGCACCACGACACAACATGTGTGCAACACATATTTACAAACATGCTAATAACAATGACAACAACAACAATAAACTGACCCAACAAAATAACTCAGTTGTGTAGCTGGAACCTCCATCTCGCCCCTGCATCATTGGGAAAGCCCCATTCCTCCCTCTTTCCCTCCCCGCAAACACCGCCCTCTCAGAGAATCTTCAACAAAGAAAAGGCCCCGAAAAGCCCAATTCAACATTCCTGGCAACTATAGCAACTTCCTCCCCTGTTGTTGTCAGCATCCCAAGTCCCTGCGTAAGCATTCCAGCTTTTGACCACGCTTGGGCACAAACCCAGCTTGTGGTGAACACATCATCACCCCATCACCTACAGGCTATATAATCTCCCTGCTTTAGTTGGGACATAAAGCTTCTCCAAGCTAGATCTCTGAGACTGGAGAACCTACCGGGAGTTGATTACTCAAATAAATCTGTTGTTATATTGTTCAGTTCAGTTTGATCTGGCTTACTTTGTGGGTAGAGAAACCTATTATCAGGTTACAGAAAACCTATTACCTGTTATCAAATCTGATGACTTGAATCAACCAAACTAAGGATTCACATTGTTGAGAGAACTCTCTCAAAGATGGAGAAAACTGACCTCCACAAGCACACTACAGCATGTACACACCCATACACATATGTTTGACAGAAAGATAGATAGACAGGCAGGCAGGCAGGCAGGCAAGCAGATGTCAACTAAAAGAAAAAATGAGTCTGGGAG